TAAAATTACTTCACTTACCTACAAACACATATGCATGAGACTTGCGGAGACACATTTCTTTCTCAATCTCTCTTTATTCAATTATTTAAACACTATCTGGATTAAATATATCAATTTGATAACATAGCACACAAAAACACACCAGAATTGAAGAACATAAGAGCGGCGCTGTCCTGAGAAGATCGAAAGCAAAATTTATATCTTATTTTTTCGTTCATTTTTCGTACTGCACTTCCACGTGATAGAGAAATGATAGAGAAAAAGAGATCGAGAAAACATAGAAATGATAGAGAAAAAGACGTAGTAAATGTTCATGGCATATTGAAGAGGAAGAATTCTGATTGCGTAGAATGTTAAAATTTTGAGCACGCTGATCAACTATCATGTGAGGCTGCAAACAGTACTCTAACATCAGTTATTTCCGTGTCTAATCCAATTTCTTACTTACAATCTCGTTTAGACAAAAGCCTTATGTCAGAATGGAAATATTTATGCTCACAGGAAGTCATTGGAAGAAGAACATTTACCTTCTCACCTATCTTCTCACGTGAATTAGTTTCCACAAATGGTGCAGTAACTTATCTTCTGACAGCTCATAGACCTATTGTGTCGTACGTATTTCGTTTTGGGCTACATAACACATATATTTGCATTTATGGCTTACCAGGTACATTAGACCACTACTTGTCTCAGAGTCAAATAACCAAAGATCTAAATTTTGGACCCTAAACATCAAACAATGCTCGTGAATTGCTAGCAGATTCTTGGGAATAATTCTCTTTGCCAGAAGCTCCACACTCTCTAATGAACTACCTTGTAATAAACAGCGACAACCTCAAAGTAGTATAATTCTCATTTTTATTTACAATCTTTTAATTATTAATGCTACTAACAGTTACAAATGGGGCTAATTATCTGAATGATAATCGTTTTACTTCTGTAATATTATTCTATTACATTGTTTCAAACGCCGCTAAATGAGCAGAAAAAGCTGAAAGCTTTCAGACAGAGCAGCTGCTCATTCTGCAGTTTCCTTGCGTTCGAGATGGAAAAACACCATTTTTATTTAAATTGGCATTTATTATATACATAGATTTGTGGCCACAATTCACTTGGCACTCGAATCGTGTCTATTCCCAACACATTTGCACTTATTAATGCTATTGCGAGAGGAAGAAAAGCATGGCGAAATACCTATTAAGCAGCACACACACATACATATATATTCAAAGAATTAAGTAAATGAGGTAACTTTTATTATTAAAAATTTTCTTTGAAAATAAAATTTTAATCTCTCTCTCGCTATATATATATGTAGAGAGAAAGATAAGATATAACTTTTTTTTTATGCAGTCTTCATGTATCAGAAAAGTTCATGTTTTTTGTAAAACTCGAAAGACTTAATTGATTCCTGAAATGGAAACATAAAAAATGCAATCCATTTTGTTGAAACTGAGTTCTTTGTCAACCAACAATTGAAACAAATACACTGGTTATTTTCTGAACTCTAAAAAGGTTCCTGAGCGATTTATTAACTTCAGTGCGGGGAAAGTGAGTAGACAAAAACAATCCCATAATTCAATTTAAGACCAGAAGAACTTTTGTACCCTCCCAAGAACAAATGTTTATTTTATTTCTGAATTTGAACTGTACACTAAATTCTTCATCTCTATCATAAGCTTCCGTACTTTTTATCCGACTAGTTTTTAAATTACTGTGTTTGCTAACGTAGTATCCAGTTGGATAAAATAATTCTTTTGTTTGAAGGAACATAGTCTAAACCGTTGGTGGAAGGAAAAAGAACGAAGGTAAGCTTTGAGTAACGAGCGGTTTGTATAGCAACATGCTTGCTGACAGAAGATTTATCTGATGCGCTGTCTTCCTTCTACATAAAGTTTAATGAAACATTACCGTTCGCATTCTATTCTATTGTACAGAAAATGAATTTAAAGTAACGAATGCATTTCTTCAAAAAGAATTTTTATAATATTTTATTCTTTACATTTTATAACCTTAGTTCTAATATCGTTACATTTTAATTAAAGGGCATTTAAAGCAGTATAAATTTATTTCCATCAGTGAGATTTATGATAATAGTTCTAACTTACATATTATTATATGCTTTTTTTTTTTTGTGTACTCCTTTTTCTTTCTCTGTGAAAACATATATACCAATAAATACACATCTGCATGTGCTCAGAGTGTTCCCAGTCTTTAAACATTATCTTGACAAAAATTTGAAATTACAATGGATACTAAATCCAAAAAATATTCATAAACCTAATTGCATATGTGATTCATATCTCTATAAATCCTCAACTATGGCAAACAGATAACACGAGATAAACTATACATTACAAATATTCACTTTTTATATTTCTTTAGATTTTTACGCAAACATAACTTACACAAATATCTGATGATATAAAATACCTTAGAAAATATTAGGTAACAAGTAAAATTATTCAAATAATTAGGCTGCTTACACTAATCATTCTACGAGTACAGTTTTTAAATCGTTGGAATGTTTAACAGGCAATTTATTGTATGCACTTTAAAGGTTGTGAGGATCACTTACTTGGACAACTTATCCACAGTTAAGCAGCGCTATGTTTAAAAATTCTTGGTTTTAAGATCACAACTTCTTTCGATATCATAATTCCATGGTATCTGTCAAGTTTCCTAATTCACCGCACATCGTAATTTATGATAAAATAATTGTATAGGGAGCAATCAGATCGCAAGGACACACGTGTGATTGAGAGAAATGGGAATTATAGAAGACCGAATCACGCAAGTCGCTCCAAACAACAAGACATCTTCGGACTGTTACAGTCGAAAGCTGAGAATCTTAAGATTTCCATTGTTGAGACTGACGTTCATGTCCTCTTCTTCAGTCACACCCTAGATTTTCGTCTAGGACACATATTAAATAATCATTTAATTCAGATGATCATCATTATCTTACGCTAGTTAACAGTCTAGAAGCGTCTCGAGCACGCATTATTTATTAATTAATTCAGCTGATCATCCACTCAGGAGTCGATATATCGTTGGCACACCTTTCTCTTTTTCATTAATAAACTGTGGTCCATCTCTGCACTCTTCATATCTCTATTCTGCGACCTTTTGTTTCCTTCTACCCTTTTCTTTATTTTCCTTTTATTGTTTTCTCATCGCATCAAAACTCCTTCAGTACATCTGCCGGCACACCCCGACTTCTTATTCCGCTTTTCTTGTCCCATCTTTTCCAATATTCTTTTCTATTAAACCTAATCAATATTAAAATTGATTTTTGATGCAGCTAAGCCTCATATGATCTTACTTTGATACTACACTGCTTTTTTCCTCAAACCAATTAAACGCATACAGGTAATGAAAATTATGCAATGCAGATTCCCTTCTTCTCACCGAAAGAGACTCTAACGCAATTGTTCAATTCTTCTGCGCACAGCAAGAAACTCAGAAACTGTTCATCATTAGAAACTGGCCTTAAGAAATAATATGCCTCGTAGACAGTCTGTCTATATTTTGTTTTAGTAAACCCAAACGCAGTCCAAACAATGAAATGTCCTAAATATTTTATTTATTTGTAGGCATCAATATTTTTAGATTAAAATCTTGTTCTCTCAAAAAGGATTTAGGTTTTAATGATAACTCAGAGATCAAGATATTTAATATTGCTTTTTTATTTATTGGTCTTGTAAATTTGGTCTATTTTGCAAATCACGGTATATTTTGAACCTTTCAGATGATTAAACTTGAGATTAGTAGTAACATCATCAGTGTATTCATAAATTAGCTTTAAAGTATATAAGCTATTTTCTCCCTCCTTCCAGCTTGTCTTCGTAGTGTAATGGTAGCCCACTCGGCGCGTATTCGAGGTGTTCAGGTTCCAGTCCCGGCGAGGGCATTGCACATCATTCACATCTGGTGCTTCGAAATAACCCAATGACTCTACATGTATTTCTAAAGACATCCTTAATAAAATACTTTCGTTGATAAAATGGAAAGTATTACAAATAACAGTAAAATGTCAGTCACTCAATTGGAAGAGAAACGCGTTAATGTAAAATTTAATTTTATGTTAAAAGTAATGTTTGTGTGATGTACATTTTGATTAAAATCTCTAACGATTTCTAAAGCAATAAAATTCAGTTCTCTTTCTTTCAGGAGAATTTTTTAAACTATTGCTGTGAAGCAGTTGAAGCCAAAAAGTATCTCATTCACAGCTAGTTTTTATGTTTTCACTTACAGAAGTTTATTCAGTTTTTTTTAGACACAGAACATAATTAAATGGGGAGGCACATTATGTTATGATAATAACCTGGACCGTGTTTCTTTCGAAGACAAGAACGTACAAAACTTTTCGAATTCATAACAGTCAATTTTTAACATTTTTTTTATTTAAGATACTATTAATAATTATTCGTCTTATTTATTTATTTCGAAGTGTATTTTGGAGGATTTCGAGCGAAACTAATGTTGTTCCAAAATTATTAGATGGATTAACTTTAGACGAATGAACAGCCTTAATTTGGGCATAGATTCTGAATAAACATATATCAAATTCGAAGTCGATCAGAAGTAAGTTTCTCTTTCTAAGGAGGGAAAAAAATCAGAATTTACGCCAAAATTGGTGTCCATTTGTCCGATTTTTAGTTTAACATTATGCGTTTATATATTCCGTTTTTAAATTCATTCCATTATTAAATTTGTTTTACTAGAGATAGTTGTCCTTGCAATCATACCTCTTTCCAACTATAATGTTTTCTTTTTTATTTAGATATGCGTAATGGAAACATACAGATCTGTCTTTCGAAGCAGGATAAAAATCTGCTATTAAAACTGCTAAAATGTTCTATATAGTTTTCTAACCTAATATTTATTTCAAGAACTGAATTTTAACATATTCACCGCTCTTCTGCAACAACAGGATATAATCTTATTCTGATTTATTTATGTTATAATTTTCAAAAGATTTCAAGATTGTTTCTTACCTTGTATAAGGACAGTTGAACTACCTTGGGCTGACTCTTCACTATTATATATGAAACACTGATATATTCCTTCATCTCCTAATCTCATATTTGCTATTTCCAATACATTATTGCTTTGCTGTCGAATTCTGTTATCCAAAATTAATGCTTTTAAATTTTTCTTCCACTTAAGGTATAAAATGGGAGAGCCTGTTACTTCGCAGCGAAGTGAAAGCGATGTTCCAACAGTTACCAAGGTCTGCGAAGGGCTGACCGTAGCTCGGAGAGTTTCTGCAATAGTTAAAAAACATTACTGTTAAATGAAACTCTATTATCTGTAAATAATAAAATATGAATGCAGTGTCAAGGAAAGCAATTTAAGTTGAAAGAAATATTTTAAACTTTCTTAGCAAAATAAATAACTGAAATATATATTGCTACAAACATAAATATATATATCCACTCAACCATTTCGAAGTGAAATTTCATTCATTCTTATTTGAAATTTTGTGCTCGAGATTTAAAACAATACTGCACTCACGGTTACGGTTGCAATGAAATTGAATGGTAAAACCTGCTTTCTTCCTGTGCAAATTGATCAACTCGTCCGAAAACCTTAAAGGGCACAGGAACGACGCACATATCACGAAAGTTGTCCATAAAAAACATTTGCGAAGAAGACCAATGGTAAAACAAGAGAGGAGAGAGTGACAAAAACGTTTATTGGAATTATAAATTTTCAACCTTCGCAGATCATAACGCATTGCATGCAAGAGACTGTTGAAAAGAATAATGAACGTAACATCGCAGGAGGGATCTGTATAACATCACGTTTTATGTACCTTTCACTTTTGACAAATATCGTGTATTTGATGTGATTTCATGTAACCCCATAGCCAGAAAGCCATCGGAGTAAAATCGGGTGATCGCGGTGCCCACCAAAATGTAAAATTACGAAAGGTGACGGTATCTCCAAACGTGTTTTTACAGGACTTGCTAAACATATGTGGAGGCGTGTGAAGAAGCACCATCTTGCATCCATACTATGTCACTAACGATATTTCGCTGCTGCAGATTTGCAGCGTTGTTGTATACAAGGCATTTGTGATAGAGCACGTTTACTCACATATAAATATGACCTCTTCGAAGGTGTAATGTCCGAGAACGAATGTGCTGATGATACCGCACCAACACAGTCACTTAAGTTGAAAGAAACATTCTAAATTTTTTTTAGCAAAGTGAATAACTGAAATATATTGTTACACACATAAATATATATATCTATTCAACCAATCGAAGTGAAATTTCATTCATTCTTATTTGAAATTTTTTGCTCGAGATTTAAAACAATACTGCACTCACGGTTACGGTTGCAATGAAATTGAATGGTAACACCCACTTTTTTCCTGCGCAAATTGATCAACTCGTCTTTATCCAGCTTCGGATAAAGACGCTGATGCTATATCCTGAGGATTTTTGTCATCTCAGTGAACGCAGTTCTAGGAATACACCTCATCTGTCCATAATATCAGCAACGGCTGCCTGTTGTTTTCATCATATCTGATGAGGAAACAATTTGAGTAATCAAGATGCTATTGCTCGTCTCCAGATTACAACATCTAAACGCGCTGGAATCGATAAGAAAACATCCACAGAAAAGAGCGCAGAAGCTTGAAGATTGTGGTTTTTGGTGATTATATTGAAGGCAAAGCTTTTTGCGGAATGCAATGAACCTGCAAAAATTGTATTATGTATCCCACATCAAATGTAACTAGAAATGCAGTTGTCCGCATCGCGATTTACCATATATGCAGCCAGTTTCTTCAAACTATTTTTTCCAAATCACATACAGTTTTTATGGTATATGAGCCTCCTCTTAAGTTATGATTTCGCCGATAAACTCGTACTGCTTCAATAATACTTTTTCCTTTCAGATGAAACGTCCATACCTGTGAATTATGCAAAGTGCTTTAGTGCACCTCCTCTTTGTGTTGTCAATGGTCCTTTAATAATCCATAATCGTAGAAGAGTTCTTAGTGTATAACTGTTCTTCTTTGCAAATATTTCACGCCCGGAATTTCATTCATCAGTGCACTGTTCTAATGCCATTTGTGGTTTTTCAATGCGTTGAAAAACCACAAATGCTTTTCTAATGCCATTTGTGGTTTTTCAATGATTGATCAATCTGAGCAAGGAAATAGTTGGTGTTACCATTCGAAAATTTCGACATTTTTTCTCCGTAAATGTAGCTGTGAGAACGTTATTGTTTTAACTCTTTCACATTGAAGTCCCCAAAAGCGCCCAAAGCGTTCAGACATCCACAGGTCAGCCAAACGTCTAAAGTATTTTCTACCTGGTCCCGTCGCGTTAATGCATGGGTCATTGCTATTGGGTGTTATTAAATGATATGACAATCATTCTTTTGAAACGACTAAAAGTAGTTGAGTTATTTAACTGCACATTCTTCCCCTTTGTTTAGCGTCAATATTTAGCTACTGATGCCCGAAGTTGCAATCTGTCCTAAGAGAAAATGGCACACAGTCAAAGCGCATGAAGATGGCAAAAGAAAAGTTTTCGCTTTACTTAAGTAGGTTATTATTGGCATTCTACTTGGCGTGAGGAAAGGAAATCCATTCCAAAAAATACTTATCGTTTCAGATGTTTCATTGAAAGAGATTTTGGACTCTACCTCTGCGAAAAGAGTTAAATCCCCACAATCTCGAGCATGCCTTCAAGTAACAATATCTGAAATTTCATTTCCATTGGTTCTCCAGATAGCAGTGAAACTATAGTTATCCAAGTTTCTATGGATGTTCTATGTGCGCCCCTCTGGGGACACGGCAAATATTTATATGGTATTTCAGCTCCTGCCACATTCGTGTTCCACTACACCACATGGAACATTCGTGCTCTCAGAATCCTAAAATATGGTTATTTGTCAGATATGCGAAAGGTGGCTTCATCCGTAATCTCAGTTCTGTTCGCGAAACCATTTACATACAGCTTATCTTAAATATTCTCACAGAAAACTTTACGAACCGGTTTGTCGGAAGGATTTTAACGCCTGCACTATCTGAAAGGTGCATGGTCTGAATTGAAAACGTTTCCATAACACACGCCACACAGTTCTATGAGGCACTTTGAGTTTAGAACTCACATGATTCGTTGATTTTGTGGGACTTTGTAAAAACGTTTCACGAATTCTTTCAACTAATTCGGATTTGGCCGCTTTCCATCCTGGGCGGGTCTGTGACAGAAGCAGCTCATGTCTTGAAACTGCTTCACCTACAGTTTGATTTTCTGACAAAACGGTGGTTCTTTACCAAATTCTGTGCGAAAATATCTTTGAACAACTGTAAACCATGATGTGTTGCCGTATTCCAAAACACAGTACTCTTTCTTCCGCGTGGATGAGATAAAACTTGCATAATTGCAGTTTCAGAATTAATTTGTTTCGGCTTAATAATTCAATTTCAGAATTTGTACTTTGCTATTCTTTTTATACCATTTAATTTGAAACAGCTTGCATACGAGTATATATTTATGCATATAAGCATTAAATACTTTCGTAATTTATTTTTAATTAATTTATTGTGAATATATTTGTTTCCTCATAAATTTGACTTCAAAATTTTTAGCTTTTGTTTTACAATAGTTGCTTTCTATTTGTAAAGTTTTTATTAGCATTTCTGCATTTTCTTTGGTTCGAAATTTAATTAATATTTATTTAGAAAATTCGTGTTTTAATATTTGAATAATAAAATTTAATATTTAAATAATAAAATAATTTAAATAATAAAATTCGTGTTTAGCATATTACACTTAATTTAATGCTCTGATTTCTTTCAATGGTAATTCTGTTTATCATCATTTTTATTATTTTTAGCACACTGCTTTCGATTTACCCAATAGTTATTCAGGTTTCTTACTCCAAAATTTAATTAATAATTTTATCGAATAGTTTTTTACTCACTCAGTGGTCTCTATAGTTTCTTACTCGAATAACCTTTTTATTCCTTTTTTATCCTTTTAAAAGCTATATATATATATATATTTTATTTCCGAGTCACGCCGGAGCAGGTCATATCTTGGTGATTAATGAAATTAAAACATTTTGAACTTTAAAAATTACTTTGTTGATCTTTCAAATCAATTTAATTATCTTAATTGTAACTAAATTACGTTAATCGGCATTAAAAATGTTTTAAATGTATATTAACAATCACCTAAATATTAACATAATTAACAATCACTTAAATATAATTCAGAAATATAACTCTGTTGAAAATTCCTAGGTCACTCCTTGAAAACACCAAGGCATTTTCAACATTTTTTTTATATTTTATATTCGTTTGATTGATTTTATTGAACTGCTTTTGTTTGAATTCGAAATGTTTATATTTTTGTTTTGATTTTGATATGTGCTTTTCTTGTCAGAGGGTAGCCCACCTTTTACCATTTAGTTTCATTTAATTACTATTTCTTAATCAAATTATTAATTTCGCAGCATACTGTACAACCTTAATAGCGTGTATTACATTAATTTAAAATTTCTTACCTTTTGTATCTGAAATGTATACATGTGGGAAATCATACCGTCCAATGCTGAATGAGAATTGCCCGTTATGACGTCATCAGTATAGCATCACCCAGCGCAGTAAGAATCATCCCAGACAGCGCTGAAACCTGGTCGAGAGTGGAGGGCAGACGTGAGCAGACGGCTCACACGTCTTCAAGAGTTTATGAACTTTAATTGTGCTTTCGATGTTATGCCTTTACATCATTATGTTAATCCTGCATACCGTTAACTTCAGCTTTATATACTTTTTTATTTACTTTTATTTCTTTCTATTAAATAAACCATTTAAATATTACTTCGTGATCTCATGCTGTGAATCAAGTCAAATTCTACAAAAAAATATGGCGACCAACCGTGCGGCCTCGAATTCCAAAATGTTCGAGTAGTAGAACTGTCCTTTGAACTACTGAGAAAGTTATTCGATTTATTGGATTACTCGTATAAAGTGTGGATTACCCAATTGACGACGATCATCTGTCGGGTGAGTACAAAACTTTCTTTCCAATATGAAGTTAGTAGAAATTCCAGAATTGGAAGCAGCTTTAAAGAACAGTAAAAGTTCTGAAATCAAAAGTTTGCATAAGCTTATTTTTAATACTGATGGAGATCGAAATAACCGGAAAAGATTACGTGAATTTTCTGGCTTATATTTTTAAACCAGATTCTGAAGAATTTAATAAGAAAATAGATGCAGTGCAGAATAGTTTTACTT